ATATGGTCTTTCCTCAAAGCATCAAATATAAGACCCGAGCCATTGGCGCACCCACCTCACCTAGCCACCAGCAGGAGCTATTTCTGACCAAAGATGAAAACGCAAACGATGTTATGGATCACCACATCCTATCAAACTCATTGAATCAGAAGAAATTCCAGACGCACCTCACATCTTCATGCCAAAATGAAAGTGCAGCTGACATCGTTTTCAGTAATTCTTTACTGTAGTATGCAACCACGGATTTCACAGATCTCAATTAAAGAAAGATATCGACACTTTTTAAAAAACGGATGCATTTGCGGAAGCTGATGCAAAAGCAGAGCGGGGCAACAAGCAGAGGTTGGAGAAACAAGGGAGTAAGGATACATGGAAGTAGCAGAAGCTTAAGAAACGGCGTTTTGGCACTTATGAGACATTTGAAAAACATTTTCAACAATAATCTAACGAACTGGGAGAACACAGCCTTCGACAGTGACAGAAATTATACATAAATATAGTGCGAATCACCGACTTGATTTTTGATGAACAAGGGCGACCAGGAGACTGTGAAACCCTAAAAGTGGAAGGGAAGGCGCTGATAAAGCGGAGTTGGAGGTATAAACACACTACAACAAACCACATATTTCCCCCAATAGAGGAACTCGAAAGGCGCAACTCCTATTCTACAGGTCGATTTAATCAACTCAGCGCAAACAGCTTCGCATTCCCATAATAATTATGAGCAGAAAAAACCCCCTAGAATCAGTGATGCACATACGATTCTACCAAGGCCACTAACAAAATGCGATCAGCAGGGCGGACGCAAAACCCATTCACAACCAACACATGCCTCCCTTAACAAGAACCTACTCCAAAACTTAGTCCCCATCCACAATTGCAAAAGTTTACCAGTACTAGTAAACATATAATTTAGGTTATTCGATGCAAGCCAAAAAATGTATGCACCAAGATCCTTGTGTTTCCCCACACACATATTCAACAGCGAACATACACATTACATACAAATCATATGCACGCACGCAAACACACGCTCGCACACATGCACATGCACGAATATACGCACACACACACACATAAACACACACACATACACGCACGCATGCGTGCATGCACACACATACCTGCATACACATACATGCATACATACACACATACATGTGTAAATATATATGGATATATATATACATATGTATCAATCCATATATATATATATGTATGTATTTTAAGCATATGACATTATATAGCAAATACGTGCAGCACGTTTACATAACCCAGGCTGGAACGCACAAGGCGAACCAGTGCGATCACGCGTTTTTGCACCAGACTTGAAATAATTAGGTTAACTGCATGAGTGGTTGCTTCTTTACACCTACCTTGTGCTCTCAATACCTTAACTAATCGTAAATTTTGCATAAAAAAATAAACAATATCCGTTTAGCGGTTGTTTTTTGAAAATGACCCAGCTGTTCAATTAGCAATTCCCCGCCAAAAATTTAAGTGCCCGTACATGAGAACCACGCATGCCTGGGGGCTGAATTCGATAACTTTAAGTCGTAAGTGGATTGGGAACATCCCCTGAAAATATCAGCTTCCCATCTTTACTAATTCCCGAGTTAGCCATTTTCCCGCCGAAAAATCTCGCGGGGCCGTACGTGAGAACTGCGCATGCCTGGGGGATGAATTTGATGAACTCGAGTCGTACATGGGCTGGGAAAATTCCCTGAAAATTTCAGCTCCCCAGCTTTACTAGTTCCCAAGTTAACCATTTTCCCGCCGAAAAATCTCACGGGGCCGTACGCTGGAACCACGCGTACCTGGAGACTGAGTTTGAAATCTTCGAGTTATATTTGGACGGGGAACATAACCTCAAAATTTCAGCTCCCTATCTTTCTGCGTTCCCGAGTTATCAATTTTCCTGCCAAAACTTCCCCCCTCTCGTACGCGGGGCCCAGATGTGCGTGAGGGATGGTACCGCGGTTCTGGGGTGGTACTTGGCCGGGGTACCCAATACAAAACTCTCGGCGCTGGAACTTGCTTGGTTGCCGAGCTGAAATACCCGGACAGACGAACACACACACACAAACATACACACACACAAACATACACACACACAAACATACACACACACAAACATACACACACACACAAACATACACACACACAAACATACACACACACAAACATACACACACACAAACATACACACACACATACACACACACAAACATACACACACACACAAACATACACACACACACACAAACATACACACACACAC